GGCAATTAAAATGTAATCTTTTTATGTTACCACTAGTCAACTGAACTGCCCCATTCTACTGCCTCCTTTAAAATTTAGATGGAAATATAAAAATTAAAATTGGCTAAATGCTTTGATAGCTCAAATATGTAGTCAATACAACTTGTTAGAGCTGATCTTCTGCTGATTTCCTTGGGAGTAAACTTGGGGGGCATACTCCTCAATGGGTGGATTAGAACTAGTGGTGGATTGGGTTAAAGCAAAAAGTGGATAAGCCCACCACTTTCCTTCCTCTTTTATTTCTTCCTGCCAATATTTTCTCTCTTTTCTTTACCTTCCCGTATAATGAACTGTTGGGAAAAGGACAGATTGCTTTGGTAGAGGCCTGAACTGATCCCTTACCATGATCCTTTGAAACTAGGAGAAGAGATGCACCCAGTCAAGTCTGCAGGTTACATACCTCAGTTGCATTAAATAACATAATATTTGTGGATCGATGAAAAGTAAAGAACAGGGTACTTGTTCATTGATTCATAAATATCTTATTACTGTGTACTTTCAAAACTTTATAAACATTTGTATTATCAGAATCAGGGCTTGAAAAATGCACTCATCCACTCGTCTGTGACGAGTCACAGTTCCCTCCCTCCCTGCCTCCTTCCCTTCTGCCTCCCTCTCTCTCTCTCTAATCCTTCAGTCCTCCCCTCCCCTTCCCATTGCAAAAGGAAAACTGCCCTCGTGAGAAGAGAGTTTGAGTGTCACATAGAGATATAGCTTTGCAGGAGAATGTAGAGCAGTCCCATGCTGGAGAATATGGAGATTCCCTGCTCCCAATTTCAACCAAACGAGGACTCATCCTGGGGTGGGAGGGAACTGTGGCTCCTTAAGAGACGTTTGCTTTCAGTTTTATTTTTGCTGCAGACATTCAAAATACAAGTTTCATGACCCCACAGGCGTGCAGTTAATAAAGCAACCCAAGTCTGAAGGTAAAAATCAGTGATTCCCAATCCCAATAAATTGCAAGGGTATAGTCTGGTCATGCTGACTGGTGAAATTTTTGACTGACTGGTGAGACATTCTAAAAGCTTTCAAGCCCTGATCTGAATATTCTAGGCATTTGTTTTGTGTTAGTTCCTTGTTTAGAGGAAAGTTCTTTTACTTGATTGTGCCCTGCATAGCACTTGCCAGTTTGCAATACAGGAGGAAGATATTTATATATCCATCAACTTAGATGCTAGGGCATCAATAGAAATTAAGAAATAACATTCATGTTACTTTTTAACACATACACACACACACAAACACACACACATACAGAGACACACACAAGGAATAATAGTGGTCAACCAGTTGTCTATGGCAAGCCCACCAGTAGGCCATGAATGCAGATACTCCCTGCATATTGCAATCTCCAGCTACTGATATGTAGAGGCATAGTGACTGTCATATTACAGTTGATTCACAGCCATTCTGGCAAGCACCCACTATGGTCCTAATCTCCATGAATTCATCTAATCCTCTTTTAAAGCTGGCCTGCAATCTTCTTGTCCTTGCTTTCAATGTTGGAATTCTAAAGTGTCTAAAGCTATGATGTCTTCCAGCTTGAAATTTTCTAGGCTATGTGATTCTTCAGACCCTTCCTATATTCCATTTCTCCTTCATATAGATTGAGGTATTTCTCATAAACAGTTTTTTTTAATTGGGTCGTGGTGGTGGAAGGTGTAGTTCTGTTTCACAAATAGGAGCTAATTGAGATTACTAGAATTTTCTCCATAGTATATAAGTCAATGTGCAGTGTGACATTCTCTGAGCAGTGTGTAAATGCCCATTTTGAGTGAATTAATGTAGAAAACGAAGCATGTGCCCTGAGTCTTCTGGAAATGTTACTTATGAGTGCATCTTGCATCTAGGAGGTTGTGGCTATATACAGTGGTTCCCTGCTTAACGATTAGCCCACTTGACGATGAATCCGCTTCACGACAATGTTTTTGCGATCGCAAAACGATGTTTTAATTGGCTTTTTTTTGCTTCCCGACTATCGGTTCCCTGCTTCAGGAACTGATTCTTCACATTACGGCGATCAAAACAGCTGATCGTTGGGTTTTAAAAATGGGTGCCGGCTGCTCAAAATGGCTCCCTGCTGTTTTTAGGAGGCATTTTTTGCTGCACAGGCACCCGAAAATGGTCATCCTATGGAGGTTTTTCGCTGGACGAGCAGGTATTTCGCCTATTGGAATGCATTGAACGGTTTTCAATGCGTTTCAATGGGCTTTTTATTTCGCTTGACGAGGATTTTCCTCTACAGCAATTTCGCTGGAACAGATTATTCTTGTCAAGCGGGGCACCACTGTATATGAAGATTTTAGGTCACACACTTGGTTTTTCACACAAGTGAAAAAACAGGTGGGTTGGCTTATCATGTAGGGGAAGATGGGGATATCTGAATGGACTTAAGCTGCAAAAGCAGAAACAGAATTTAGAAATGCCAATCAATTATTTCAATAAATGAGAATCAGCTTTGTTACTTGCATTATGTGAGACTTCTTAAAAAATTATATGTACCACAGATAGCTTTGACCAGATACAAAAGAGTAAACAAGGCACACAGCAAGGATGTTGTGGCACTGTTTCTGTTTTTGATTTTCTTTTTCCTTTTAATTCAGAGGACCTTTCAAGACAGTTTAAATAAATCAATAAAGTACAAATTAACATTCAGAATCCTGTTGTATAATGTTAGCAAACATATGTTTCAGTCCCTTCCGCACCAGTAAATAAAGATTCCTCACATTGTGCTCAGGAGCACACACAAAGGCAGTATGCTTGAGCAGCCCTGAGAATCACAGCAGGGCCTTTTTATTTACCAGTAAGAAATGGATCAGAACTTATAACTTTCCTTACATTGTGCAAGAGGATTTTGGCCAACAGATCCGTTGAATGGAGTGTTGTTTTTATCATTAGTAGAGATGGGCACAAAAAAAAAATCAAGATTCATTTTAAAATTGCTAATTTGTCAATTTGTATTCGTACAAATCAGTGCCCCTGACAAATATGAATCAATGAATTTTTAGTGATTTTTGATTCATTGATTTGGTTGGCTTTAAAATGGCCTCCAAGGCACCTAGAAACACCAAAACTGCACAAAAGCTTCCTCTGACTGTCCTCTACAATTCCTCCAGGTTTGATGAAGACTGGGTTTCCCAAGCCAGCTGCTAAATGGCATTTTCCTGAGGGAACCAATTTTGTGGGTTTATAACTCAGAAGTTTGGGTCTAAACCCAAACTTCACCAAACTTGAAGGCCTTGTAGGGGAATGTCAGTGGAAGCTTCCCTGTGAATTTGGTGTCTCTAGGTGCTTGGGGTGCATTTTATGGGGTTTTAAAGTAAAAAAAAAAATGAATTGACAAATCGTTTTACCAGATAAATTGTAAATGAATAATCTGTGATTAGTTGACCTTGACAAATCACATTTTTTTTAAAAAAAATGACATTTTTTCTGATTTATACCAACTTTAATAACTAGACATCATCATGACAGATTTCTGTTATTGACTAAGTTCAGGCAATGAACTTATCTTGGTAGAATGATTTTAATACAGTGGTGCCCCGCTTGACGATTACCTCGTTAGACGAGGAAATCACTTAACAAAACAATGTTTTAATAGGAAAAAATCGCTTGATGATGATCAGTTCCCTGCTTTGGGGACTGATTTTTTGCTTTACAACGATCAAAACAGCTGAATGGCCACCCGCTGTTTCAAAATGGCTCCCTGCTGTGTTTAGGAAGGCTTTTTCGCTTTACAGGCACCGGAAAATGGCTGCCCTATGGAGGATCTTCGCTGGATGCTGAGGTATTTCACCCATTGGAACGCATTGAACCGGTTTTCAATGCATTTTTATGGGTTTTTTGCTTTTGCTTGATGACGATTTCGTTCTACAGCGATTTTGCTGGAATGGATTATCCTCGTCAAGCGAGGCACCACTGTATTTCCAAGAGTTTTAATGGGCTTAGGAAGAACCAGTGATCTTTGCAGAACGCAGCTATCTATAATAGAAGAATCCCATTCAAGGAAATGTAGTGTGTCTTTGGGAGCAGGATGATATGTAAAGTAAAATGTACATAGTGAAATCTGATATCAATATGCTGTAAAATAACAGTACTCATGCCAATGAACTTGAACAATTTAAAGAAGACATTATGATTTCTGAGAAAGGTAAAATATTGACTCATGGTAAGAAATGTACCACTGTACTAGTGCTGTGGTGTACCTGGAATGGTAATATTAAAATTGCCTGAGAGCTGTTACTTGCATTGGTACTAGTTCATATCCATGGAGTTTATTTCAGCTATAAACTTCTTCAATTACTGTTTTTGCATAAAGTACCAGTAGTAATCAAATAAGTTTTATAGTGGCTGAAATCCTGTTGCTTAGCATAGTAAGTTGTAATTAGAGCAGGGCCATTTAAGTTAATAGAACCTATAAAGGAGTTGACTCACCAAATTCCTACTGATTTGGGTTGCCTACTCTAGTGGGATGTACTGTGCTAAGCAGCAGGATTTTGCAGTCACGATGCTTGACTTATTCACTTACTCCATTCAAGGCTGGAAAAATATTGAGTTTTTTAAATCACCAGGATCAAAATTGTAGGCTCCTATTGTCAGAATTATGTTTAGGTCAAAAATTCTGAAATAAATTGCTTACTTTTTTAACAGCTGTGCAGTTTACTGTAGCATGCTTTAGTGGAGCATTTTGGCTATCAGGCAGTATATTTAACATTTTTGTTTCCTGCTGATATTTAGTTTGCATAAATACAAAACATTCTTCATCAGTAGGTTGACTATGCTAAAACAGCTATGGCAAGTAAAAACAATTGGGCCAGATGAAAAATAGGCTAAGGGGCCGTTAAGGGAAGAATATTTAGTATAACTAAGCTGGTTGCCTCAAGCCTTTTAAAATTCTTTTTTTCTCTTTTTGGTTCACTGTTCTTTGGAACTCCTTTTTTAAATTTTCATATGCTCAACAGATTCTGAAGGCAGTGGACATGGCAGTGAAGATGGATCTAAGGATAGCGGAGAAGGCTCCTGTAGTGAATCAGAAGAAAATATCTTGGAAGAAGAGCTGGCAGAAGAAGAATTAAAAACAGAGGAAGAGCAACCTAAAACTTCAGGTGGTGAAGAGCTGCCAGTAGCAGAGAAGGCGGTAATTAAGACAGAAAATAAAGAGGAGGAGGAGGAGGAGGATGGAGAAGGAGAAGAGAAACCAAGAAAGAAAAAGGAGAAAGAAAAAGAGCGAGAGAAGCCTTCAGAGGCAGATGTTGGCATTGATGAGCAGACTAATGAACCAAAAAAGTGGAACTTAAGAAGAAACCGTCCTCTACTAGATTTTGTATCCATGGAGGAGCTAAATGACATAGATGATTATGACAGTGAGGATGACAATGACTGGCGTCCAACTGCAGGGAAGAAGAAGGGAAAAAACACATTACGGAGAGAAGGAAGTGATGTGGATAATGAGGATGATGAAGATGATGGAAGTGGAAGTGATGAGGATGATAATGAAGAAGAAGGCAATGATGACGATGATAGCAGTGCTGCTAGCGATGGTGGACCCAAGAAGAAAAAAGCAAAAGCTCTTAACAGAAATAGTGCTGATGATGAGGAGCTGACAAATGATAGCCTGGCCCTTTCACAAAGCAAGAGCAATGAGGTAGAAATGCCAACTTTCTATAATACCTCTGATGAAAAATGGAAAATACTGTGAAGTGTAATTGTTTTGAAATTGCTCCCTAAAGCTAGGCAGAGTTACTGGACAGTAATTGCATTAATGAGCTGCAGAGTTGTGCTGAATGCTCATTAAGATAAATTTGCATCAGCTTCATGCCTGAATCCAGCACCCATTGAATTCCAGTGGTAATCTTCCATTGGCTTCAGTACATTTTGTATTTTTATTTTAGACCTATTTCAAGCTCTTGCAAGAGACTAATTTTTGGTAAGTGCCTGTATCACACTGAGCACAGGTCAGTATTATACTTAGGATGTATTGCAGTGAACATGTAACAATGGTATTGAAAGGTCAGGGAACATGCTTTTGTAGTCTAAGTCTCTGACTAATTCTGAAAACAATACATTCTTAGTGATTTGAGAAAATGTTAAAAGACAGGCTGCAAAGCAATGTGAATTTCTTGTGTATGTTAAAACGCAAGGATTGTAATGAATACATTTTAAATTGTGAACTAGCAGAGGTAAAACAGAGAGTTGGTGTTAAAGCTTTAATTTTACAAGGCTCATACTGAGTACTAAAATATGGTGTCTTTTACTGACATATATTTGATAGAAAAAAATGAAGGGCAAAGAAATGAATGTGCTTTATCAACTTGTTAAATGTTGTATGCAGTCAGTGTTTTATCCTGAAAGAGAAAACCTTAGTGGAGGGTGCAGAGAACATTGCTATCCAAGTTCTCTTCAGTTCTCAGTCTTGGTCCTTTATCACAGATTATATTTCTTTTTGTCCAGAACAGAATACTTCATCTAATTGATACTCCTCTTCCATGAAATATTATTTATGGCCTAATGATGATGATGTGCTTTCAAGCCAGTTTGGACTTATGGCAGCCCTTTCTATGTATAGAGTACTCAGAAGCAGTTTATCATTCCCTTCTTCTGAGGTTACCCTGGGACTGTGTAACTTGCCCACAGCTATACAAGTTAGCTCTTCTCGTGAGATGCAGAGTGGGGAATTGAACTTCCAGCCACTGACTCTGCTGCCACATACCTAACTTACTGAATTATACAACCAGCTTCTAGAGCTCTTAAAACTTGAAGAAGACCTTAATCATGGTTTCATTGTTTCAGTATGATCCAAGCTAAGAAGAACACCAGAGTTAAGCATTATGCTAATTTAATTATGCTTAGGCATCCTGCTATTGCTTAACCAGGTTTGGGTTTCATTAGGGCCTTAATAGGCAGACTTTTGGGGAGTCATACAGCTTAGTTTGAGTTCCATAATGGAAAAGGACAGAATGTAAATGTACTAAATAAATAAATAATAGTACATCTGTTTATTGCAACTGAAATTATTAAGATGAACAGATCAGATAAGTCCTGCATTAAAGACTTACACACATTACTAATTTATTGTCTAGTTTGGAGTACATATAATGATTTATTTAAAGCATAGGCATTATTTCTTCCTGTGCCTTCTGGCAGCCAGATACCTAATAATTATGTGGCTTCTAGACTTTTATATGTTACATTCAGGTTCTGAATGTAATATATTGTATAGCAATTTTCTACTGTAGCAGTTAATAAATTTGTGTATAACATGTTTCTTAGCTAATGTTGCCTTTTGCTGTTCTTATTTGTTTTCTTAAATATACTCTGAATAACAGAAGCTTTAACAATATGTTATTCCTGCATAATATAGCTGTGACGAATATGTCCCACTCATTTCAGAGGCCTTAGTTGTAGATAATTTTCCCTGGACCTGGACCTTCATGAAAAATAGTGTTGGTGAGCTGATCTCAAAATATGTCCAGTGTCTGTCATTATGAAGGTTCCTGTACTATTTCAATGAGTATATAAACACTTAGGTGTGTTGAAAGACAGAAGACCAGTTCATTCTTTATCCCCAGATTGTGTACAGCCTTAGCATCTATGTATGGTTGGTAAGTTAGAAATAGTTAGCTATATTATAAATCCATGCTAGCATACAGTGAAATAAACCAATTTATTCATATGAATTTTAGGTTTTTTGCGCAATCTAAAAACATTGCTTGCATAATTATGTTGTAACTGCCCAGAGAATGATATAGCACAATGGGATGGTATATAAGTTGAAACAACAACAATAACAGTATTTGTCAGTTCATAAGTTAAAGTATCATTGAGTTAGATGAGACTCCCACATATGTCTGCATATAATTGCAGCCATAATCAGCATGCACATGCGTGTAAGGGAGAACAATGGTTACAAAGACAAAAGGCATAGTTATTCTCCTTCAGCTGATATACATTTGTCACAGCAGGCCACCCCTTAAAAGAAGCATTTGCCTTTTTTTCTCACAGGAGAGAATGCTCTAAGGTGGTGCTTTTATTAACTAATTGAGGGCATCTTTTTAGACTATCAAAATGCATGTAGTGTAGTTTATCCAGATGCCAAAATGTTGATTAATAACTACATCCTCAAAAATTTAATTATATAGTCTGTAGATTCTTCATAATTATATAGTCTGTAGACTCTTCATAATGGCCTTGAAGATTCATCTAGGCGTTTTAGACTACATTTAAAACTTGAATCAGTATTTGAAAGAATGATAAATACTATTAAATTGTATTTACTTGGTATGAGTGTGTTTTATTCCTTGACATTCCTATCCTACATTCATCTAGAATAAGATACATCCGTATAATATTAAGAACAGTTATCCTTGGTTTTCATTACATTTTATGTTTCTTAACAATTATCAAAGGGGAAAGGCAGGTTAAATTATTCTTTAAAATAGTTCCTACTCTCATTTATGTTTACTCAATACAAAATAAGGTGTATATAACCCTTGTCATCCTCTGTGTTTATCAAAGTAAAATTTTAATTGATGCTGCAATTGAGTAGTCATATGCTCCACTGAACTTTTTGGGACTAACTGTTGACTGCAGTTGTATAATACTGTGTTCTGAGTTAAAATGCTCTAAGAACCATGGGTTGCAGATGTTAAAGTTGAAATTATCAAACATTTTTGTGACTCATAGATTTTCCTAATCTTCAGCAGTTTTTCATTGTTTTCAGTGTGTGGTGACACTGATTTTACTGATATCTGTAAGGAGCTAATCTTTAAAGATATATTGCTAAACGTTAGATAATAGTTTTATACCAAAAAAGGAGCAGTGGATGAAACCTAATTAATTATCTGCCATCAAGTCAATTCCAACTTATGACAATTCTTTCAAGGGTTTTCTAGATGTAGCATACTGAGAAGTGGTTTATAAATCCATTCTTCTAGGGGAGCTCTGGGACTGTGTAGCTTGCCCAGAACCACACAAGTTGGCTCTTTTCCTACAAGGCACAGTGGGAAATCAAGCCCCTTATTCCTAGCTCTGCAACCACTTTCTCACCATGTGCTTCAACTGACTCAGTTGTCTAAACAACTGGCTAAAACCTAGGAGAGCCCATTGAGGAAGTGGCAGAAAAATCATCTTAGATAGTTTGTTATAGAACTAGAATCTGAGCATTGGATAACGTGACATTAGATCTACTTAGTTTTTCCTAGAGTAGAATAATTCAGATCAATGGACAAACCTAAACCCAATTTGAGTGGTCCTCTAGCTACGACTGTCTGTATGCATTTCATTTTCTAGAATGTCAGTAATTGCATGAGGCAGATACAAAGAGTTCTGTGCAGTCAATGGAATGTCTTTGCAAACCAAATTTTAAATTTCCTTCAGCTTTAGATCTAGTTTGCAATGTGCAATGGGGCTTTTTTAAAGGGGTAGAACAGAAGAAACCTGAAGGTACTTTTGCCTCCTGAGTTTAGTGTATGATCTTAGTATCCAATGCACAGTATCTGAAATGAGTTCATTTCTGCTTTGTGCTATGGAAAAGATACATGTTGATTAAAAACTGGTATTTCAATTCTTTTATAGTCTGTGAATAGTATTTCATGGAAATTCACTAATTGCAGTTACTACATTTGTATCTTGCTTTTTTGTCAAGAAATTCTGGCATTGTAGCATTACAAATGTATGTATGAGGTAGTTTGGCCTGAGAGAGAGTTACTCAGTAAGTAATATGAATCTTCAAATGTGGCGGACAGGTAGAGGAATATATGATGGAGGTAACTGGTTTAGGGACCCTGTCCATGGTGGTTAGAAAAATAATGCAGAAAAAAAATACTAGAGTGACTTTTTTCCTCATCAGTTGGAGGTGCTGTTCAAGGTATATGACATGCAGGATTTGCAACAATGAAAATAGGCAGAGAATCTTTGATCTTCCAGATGTTTTGGACTTCAGCTTTCAGATACCTCAGCCACCATATTCATGATAAGGGACTATGAAGATCGTAGTCCAAACAGCTGGAAGGCCAAATGTTACCCACCCCTGGATTAAAAGCAACAGGATGCTGGGTGAAAGAGGAGGACCTGGAAAAGGATAAGAGAAGAAATAACACGGCTGAATATGTTTAGGGCCAAAGCAGGTGCCATATCTCCATCATTCATCTATCTGCCCAGTTCACGTAGCAGTAGAGAAACAGCACCACTGAGGAACCCAGTTAACAAACACACCTATAATTTGCAAACATAGGCTGCAAACATGATAAGGCCAGAATCCTGTTGGTGTTCATGTAAAGTCTGCATAATTTGTTACAGCCAACTGCAGCTAATTGATGATGTCAGAGAATGGCTCATTCACGTACATGGTCATGTCCCTGATTGCACTTAATGAGATGCACCCTGGCACCTCATCAGTTAGCTGCAATGAGCCAGAGCAAGTTATATTAACATCAGTAGGATTCTGTCCAATAAATCATTAAAATGCCTCTTCCAATATAACAAGTACATTTTCACTTTTTAATGATAGGACTCGCTGATTCTTGAGAAACCTCAAAACTGGAGTTCCCAGAAAATGGACCATATTATGATTTGCTGTGTTTGTCTTGGAGATAATAGTGAAGATGCTGATGAAATAATCCAGTGTGACAACTGTGGAATAACAGTACATGAAGGTAATTCTAAGATGCCTTTAAATTGGGACAAGTAATTTTTATTTTTCCCAGAGTAAACTACAGTGAATTTGTGCTCAGTTTAAATTGATGTTTTTTTTTTAAAAAAATTGATAGCTAATATTACAGAATCCTAGCTTATGTGTACATATACTCTTTGTGTGTGTGTGTGTGTGTAAAAATTAAGCTATCAGCATTATAATTTAGTGTCATGGTTGCAAAATATCTGGCCAATAGAGGTGTCTTAAGGTATAGTGCAGCTGATAAAAAATGTACCACAGTAGGGCCCCCATATTTATAGAGGCTTGTTTCCAAGCTCCTTTGCAGATGCTGAAAAATGCGGAACACTATTTCGATAGTAAATGTTATATCGCTGGGTTCATCTGGTGGCCAGTTTTGATAATGACATCATGGAAATCTGTTTCTCTAGCAAATGCTATGCATAGCATGATCTCTTTCTCCCTCTAGTGGCCAGTCCTGGTGATTTTATCGCTAAAATATATAATTTGGGGGATTTTCCTTTTACTGTAATATTTTAAATATTTTCAGACCATGGATAAGTGAATCGGGAGATACTGATCCCGCAGATAAGGGTTCTCTACAGTAATTGTAGCGGTAATAATAATAATATTTGTAGCTCCATTAGGCTGAATCTGTAGAATCCCAAAGAATCCTTCTGTTCCTGAAAGGATCTTGAAATTGGTGTAGGTGATGATTTGCCACCATAACTCCATAATGCCTTTACAGAGCAGATTTACTAAGACCCTAGGGTAAAGTGGAAGACAAGTATCTAAAGGAATGTGTTATGTGAATGAAACTTCAGTTATAGAACTCTAGATTCAATCCAGCTTGTTTTCATGAGATAGCCCTTTAAAACTTTGTTTGATTTACTGCTACTGTGTATATATCTGAAGAAATGGCTATAGTCTATGAGGCTTATGCCAAATAAAATGTGGTGTTTAAGACTAATTACCTGTTCTATGTTCTCATTATTCTGCCTTTCTTAATTGCTCTGTGACTCTTAAACTGGATTCTTATAAGGCTGTAGATCTCTTTATCAGTATATTTCTCCCATTCTGTGCTTGTAATAAACATTTAACTAGGTATACCACTTTTTTTCTCATGAGAGTTTACAAATATTCTAGTAGAACTTTGGGCAAAAGTTCTTTACTGTTTCTGAAAAAATGCTATTTTAAAATGTTCCTTTATGTATAGACATGTCCTTCCACAAATAATTCCAGTTGTGTTTTTTTTTTTTAAATAAAATCCTTAAGTTCTGTTCTGCCGCTCTTGATAACTGTTTTTGTGCTAAGATCCACTAACTGGTTTATAATAGCAGAATACCCCCAGCTGTGTTGTCAGTTCTTCTGATGTACTGATTGCAGAGTTTCTTAAGAAAAATATCTGCAACATATAGTACACAGTATAAGTGTAGGTAATTCTCTTGCTGGAAATTGCTGTTGCATTTTTGCTATGAATTAAAGACATAGCACCATTATCTGAAAAAAAAAATTCTTTGTTTCATATTTACATGCTACACAGTACAGTATGTTTCCAGGGCAAGTAATAAAATAATCACTGCCTGAAGCCTCTGAATAAACCCTTCCAAGCCGTGTTCCTATAAGCACTTTCTTGCTCTTTCTTCAGGGATTTTTATTCATTTAGAAACAGAAAATAATCAAGTGATGTAGAATACTAGAGCATTTTCTGATGTCTCACATTGCTTGTTCTAGTCCCCTTGTTATTTTCCCACTCACCATCACCATCTTAGAAGTGCAGAGCTAGAAGGGACTCTATGGATCATTGAGTCCAGCTCTTGTCAAAGAGGCACAGTGGGGAATCCAACTCCCAGTCTCTGGCTCCATAGCAAGACCTAAACCACTGAGCTATCTAGCAGTGTTACTCCACTACAAATAGAAATAAGGCAGTTCATCCATTTTTCTGATTATGATGCCCATTTCTAGGTTTGGGGGTGGCGGCAAGATGATCTCCTGCAACAGCAATAGGAGCTTCTGTCTTTTACCTCAAAAAAAGAGTGTTGCCTTTGTAGCCTTCTTGCCAATCCTGGCTTGTTTCCAGATAAGAATAACTGGAGTTGAGCAAACAGAAGGAGGAGGAACAGTTGTTTTTAGCTTGATATTGTGGGAATATTCCATTTTACTACCAGAGAAGATTAGGAACTGAGATGGTTTCAGCTTCCTTCCATTTGAGATCATGGGGATGTGTGGCCAAATAGTTCCTTTCATTCATAGAGCTCTCTCTTATGCATTATATACAGTACTTCAAACAATTTGGGGAATAAGAGAAGCTCTCCCCTAAATCTCTTTTTACTTATTGGCATTCCATACCTCCCCATGATTTGTTAACATGTCATTTGACAGGCCTTTCCTTTGTTTGATTTGATGTGCTCCCTCATGCTTCTAGGTTGTTACGGCGTAGATGGCGAGAGTGATTCTATAATGAGCTCTGCTTCAGAAAACTCCACAGAACCATGGTTTTGTGATGCCTGCAAATGTGGGGTCTCTCCAAGCTGTGAGCTGTGCCCCAACCAAGACGGAATCTTCAAAGAGACGGATGCTGGCAGGTTGGTTGAGGAGAACAGTTGTCATTGGGATACTTTTCTAAGTGTGAACCTGTGATAAATCTTACGGTCTGATCTCATCACCAAGACCATTCAAGACATAACTTTTCTCTCTTTTGTTACTGTCAAGTTAGAAAATAGATTTTCCTGACCCTTCGAAAGTATTTGTTTGTTTGTTTGTTTGTTTATTTATTTATTTGATTTATACCCCGCCTATCTGGCCCGGACCACTCTAAGTAGTTGAGAGAGACTCAAAGCATGCCATTCAGTTATTCAAGCCACAGGAATAATTTTCTGGCATCAACCATCTTGCCAACTGTAATGGTGGTGCCTGCAAGTTTAATCATTGCCATTACTCCTTTTATTAATACAGCATCTCTGAGACTTAGCAGGACATCCACCAGTGTCAGAATGAACATGGTTCTGTTCCCTTTTCTGTATTCAGTATGCTGTGTATAGGCAATCGGAAGTCCTAGAAGTGTTAAATCATTTATAAATTTCATATATGCATGGTTTAGATGCATTATTTTCATTTTGGCCCTCTGTTTAACATTTATTGAAAATTATGTTGGCATACAAAACCATTGTCAGCAGGCTGCAATTTGAGTGTTTCCATTTAAAAACATAACACTTCAGTTTTAAGAATCTTGGCACCTATATCTTGCTTAACTGTTAATTTTCTGTATTTGTGAAGGCTTTCACAGCCGGGATCTAATGGTTGTTGGTGGTTTTTCGGGCTCTTTGGCCGTGTTCAGAACACAGCCAAAGAGCCCGAAAAACCCACAACAACCACTGTTAATTTTCTGTTCTGTAAATAAGTCAGAGTACAAGAACACAATTTATTTTGTAAGCTGTCCTGGTGTTCTTAAAAAACATATTGTCATACTATACATTAATAAAGATGTTTAAAGAAAACAAACCAAGATTGTCATAGGGCTGGATTTTTTAAAGTACCTAGTTCAGCTGTGTGGAAGTGCTTACTAACAGTATTGATAAATGGTGAAGGTTTTATTATGACTGTTTCCTCTTGAGAGAAAATTCAGGGCATTTGTGCTGATAAAAATGGAGCCAAAATAGGACCACTAGGGAACAAGAGGTTTCAATATGCTTAGAGGGACTCTGAGGTTTGCAAAAATTTAAGAAACAGCAGCAACAATAAGCAACCTAGCAACTATCCATCCAAGATATTTAGTAACACTGGAAAAGTTAAAACTGAAAACAAACCTCCTCCTCTGAAGTACTAGGGTGACTGGGTGTGCTCATCAGCCATTTTGAATGCCTGTTGATGGAAGAACAAAAAGCAGTGGAAAATAAGGAGTGTGATATTGTATGGTGGATGGAGATCGGAACCCTGAACAGAAACATTCCTGCTCAGAAGAATTAGGTAGCTGGTAACACTTGTTCTCTTTGACACTGAATATGCCTGTTAGATTGAAAGATTGTAAGGCAGCTGAACCCAAAGGTAGCATTTAGTGCATACGTCAACAGTTTCCTAGGTAGCTTAAAAGTATATTGGCTTGTAAATGATAAAATACAGTGCCCCTAGATCTTTGGTGTATAACAGGCTTGTCCAACCTGCGGCCCGAAGGCCGCATGCGGCCCAGGTCAGCTCGTAATGCGGCCCAGTGCAATTTTTTATTTTAAAAGAAATTCCAAAGTTTCAAGTTACACTGCCGCCGCTTGCGGCTGGAATGTGGCCGGGGCATGTCACAACAGTAGAGGGGCGAAAGGGAAGGAAGGAAGGAGTGGGAGGGGAGGGGACAGGGGGGCTGCGTGACTGCATTGTGTTGTCCCCGTCAATAGGTGGACCCCCTCCCGGCCCCATAAAGCCACCGGAGTTGAAGCTGGTAGCCTCTGCTGTCTGAGATCACAGCTGCCGGTAAGCGCGCTTGGAGCGGGGCTGCGGAGGACGGCTAGGGCTGCCCCCTCCATGCGGCCCAAACCAAATGTATGTGCGGCCCAAACCAAATTTTCATCTTCTAATGTGGCCCAGGGAAGGTGAAAGGTTGGACACCCCTGGTCTATAAGATGGCCCTCATTAGCTGAGTGATTGAAATAACAAAATACCCTTGCTGGCTCTTAGGGCTTACAAAATGCTTAGAACAGATAAATATAAAATGCTAAGGATAGCCATAGAGAGAGAGAAAAAAAGGAAAAGAAAGGTAGGAATTACAGCTGCTTTTATGTTCTGTAAATGGTTGATCATGTTCAGAAAGGGAGTCACAGGCTGAAATCCTGTTGCCTAGCATAGTAAGTTGCAGCTAGAGTAAGTTGCCCCTTTGAATTAATGCAACTTACACAGAGGTTGACTCATCAGATTGACACTGATTCAGTGAGTGTACTTTAGTTGTGAGTCATGACACATAAGCAGCAGGATTTCAGCCATGCTACCCTGTAATAGAAATTAGAACTATGAAGGGGGAATTAGAGATTAAAGCCTTTTTTGTTTTGATACAGAGAGGTTTGTGGGTGAAAAGGAATAACTTTTTTCATTTCATACTCTCCATTCTGCTTTTGCCCCATTGTGATATAGTATGAAAAGGGTTCAATTCAGGCATAGCACAGTGGTGGAGGAGGGTGGGGAAGGAAGAAAGATAGCCTGTTTTGTGTCCTTGGAAATCTTCCTTACCTGCCACCATGAGTAAGTTCCAAAGAATGCTGTGCACATGCTTTTCCAGGTGATATGGAACCATGTTAGGGACAGAAATATCCTGTGACATTTTGATTACAGGTCACCACTTCCATCTATACGGTATCAAGACAGTGTTTTGCAAACTCCAGTCAGACCTCCTGTAAAGCCAGGAGACCACGTCCATATGCTGCAAACAAAATTACCTGACTTTCCTTTCTGAATGAAAACTAAACCGATTAAAATTCCCTCTGTAATGAGGGATGATTTCCTCTGATCTCCCCATTTGAGAGACTAAATAGGTAACGAGATGGTTAATTTGTAACCAGTAACTTTTTGCATGTACCCCTTAGTTTCACAAACACTAGTGCAGAAATAAGGAAATCATCTATTTTGCTAGATGCTACATTCCTTACTGGAGTAACATTATTGTCTCTATTGTGATTCAGGTTTTTTCCTTTCCCATCACCAACATCTGTCATCATTGCTCAGAGCAAAATGGATGGGGAACTAACATGAAAGATTATTCTTCTTTGATTACCCAATTTGTCTTAATTACAAGGTTCTCAAACATGTGCAGCTAAACAAATGAGCAGGGGAAAAATTAGGCACTGGTATTAAAGGCAGCTGAAGCAGCCTCAGCTGTGAACTTGACTGACTTCTGTGTATTTTAATAAAGATTCAGGATGGAGTTCACACATAGGTGGTTAAGGAAATGAGACACTTGTGTGCCAATCATACTGAAATGGCAGTTTAAATCTGTAATACTACAGTACTTGTGTGACATGTACTAAAACATTTTGAGAAGGTCAGTGTGAAGCAAGCAGCCAGCTGTTGGGTTTATCATAGATAAACTCCTACAGAGTGCAGCAGCATTTAATACACCAGTGGAGCATGAAAAAACTGTGCAAATTAAATTTAGAAGCAGCTGCTTGTTGAAGATGTGTATCTTTATATTGAACTCTGCAGGGTGCAGTGGGGTGGATGCATTAAAACTTACTATCAAAAATCTCCAGCCAAAACCTTGGCTTTTAAAAAGAAAAAATAGACGAGAATGTGAAAGTGTGCAACTATTTTCCCCCATTTCCCTGGTAAAATTGCTCCCAGTGTGACACACCAGTGGCATTTCACAGAAAGGATAACTTTCTTAGATTTTAAAAACCGCAAGGCATGTCTTAGTTATAGGCCTGATGTTTTGACTTCTCTGTACATATTTGAATAATACTAAGAATATTAGAACTGCAGAGCTGGAAGGGACCCTTTGGATCATCAATTCAAGTCCCTATAAAGGAGGCATAGTGGGGAATCAAACTCCCAACCTCTGGTTCCACAACCAGATGCCTAAGCCACTGAGCTATCCAGCAGTTCTCATGAATCATTTCATACTTCATTTCAGAATGTTCTTTCAAAAAGCATTGAGGTCTCATCCTATTCTAACTAATATAGTACTGATCTAATCTGTTACCCATGTGTAAAGCAGTTCCCATTTGTTTTTCTCCATTCCTGCTATTCTGTCATTTAGTGAGTGTCAAGATTTCTGCCAGTTCTGGAATCTTCTCAAGAAATTCCTCTTTTGTCAGTAACTTTGTGGTCTTCCAATTGCTAGCGTACAAAATTCTTGCTGCAGTTATCAGATTTAAAATCAAATAAACCTTGTGGTCCCCCCCCCCCCGATTTTGGATGGTATCATGTTCAATAGAAAAACCTCTGGTGTTAAAGCAATTTTAACCCATAAAATGTTCTCTACAATTTCATGCATCATTTTCTAGAAGTCCTTAGCCCTATTACACATCCACCCCATGTGAAAAAAACTCCCTTTCTCTTCGCATTTCCAGCACTCATTGGATAAATTTTTATACATGTTGACTAGTTTCTCTGGTGTTATGTACCATCTATAAAACATTTTATAAACATTTTATTTTAAGCTTATAAATTTAGTCATTTTGATGTTTTGTTCCCATAGTTGTGACCAGGCACTTAATTCAGTATTATAACCAATGTTTTGAGCCCATTTTATCATACAGGCATTCACAATTTCATCTTCCATTTTTGTTCCATCAAAATATTATATTAACATTTAATCAGTTTTTCCTCTGAAATGNGCATTGAGGTAACTTCAGATTAAGAAAGGCAAGCTTTTCCATTTTCATAGAACGATGGTATTGTAGTTCAGTACATTGAGAGAGCCCCAGGTTAGGGAAAGTTGGTCAATTGTCTATAGATTGACAATGTTACTGCTTAAGAAATTGTAGCAAAGTAAGCAAATACGAAAGAAAAATATACAAAGATGTACAAGAGGTCCTATATGAGGTAACTTCAGATTAAGAAAGGCAAGCTTTTCCATTTTCATAGAACGATGGTATTGTAGTTCAGTACATTGAGAGAGCCCCAGGTTAGGGAAAGTTGGTCAATTGTCTATAGATTGACAATGTTACTGCTTAAGAAATTGTAGCAAAGTAAGCAAATACGAAAGAAAAATATACAAAGATGTACAAGAGGTCCTATAAGCTGATTTCCTTTGGAATCCTATTAAGTGATATGAAATGCACAATATACAGCCTATTATACATATCATCCACTGAAAACTAGAAATGCAAAGCAATGAGTATTACATGTGGAAGCTCTTTGAAAAAGGATGAAGTCTTGGTGATCAGTTGTTGCAGGGAAAGGGAAAGAATTTGTCTAGTCTCCCTTGCTCAATAGTTGAGCTGTGTTTTGTTAACTTTTATGAAAGAGCTCATCTAGTACAACCCCAGCTGTTGGATCCATCATTAACTCTTGCATATACAGTTCCTCATTAAAGTGGAAACCACTGTATGGAAGTGTGCCATTTGCGAACTGGTCCTCAGTAGAGTTCGGCTATCCATTTTCTAATTTGGTGGAATATTAGGGAGGCTACGGTACCTTTTAAAATATCAGTCTAAGGTATTTTGAGGGGATATATGAGATGTCATTGAAGTTCACATTAAATATTGCTGTGATTTTTAAAAGGTATTTTCCCCCGTGCTGTAATTTGTCACTTCAGAATTGTGTTTCTATTATTTGAAGAAGGTGTCATTAGCAAGCTAGATCAGTTTCCAAAGAAGTAGTCATTTAAGTCTGTCTCAGCATGTTGGCAAAATTAAAGAGGGAAAATAAACTCCTTTGTAAATTGCTGTCTCACTCTCTTATTGTAATTCCATTTTCCCCCTACAAGAACCACTTTTAGATCCACAACAGAGTCTCCTATGAGGTTGAAGCATTTAAAAACTGGTTTCTCTGTTTTGCTGTTACTGGTGTCAGATTTGTGTCCTTTCTTTTGTGCAGACATTGTCTTGTTTGTCCTGTGTGGAATGCAAGAGGACACTGTTGGCAGAAGATGCCATAAGGCAAATTAGAGATGAAGAAGTAAATAAACCCATGATAGTTCAGCTGATCTTGTTGAAAAGTAGAATATTTCTGAGTAAATAGATTTTGTTCCCAGAGCTCACACTGAAACAAACCTGTTAGCTTTTAAAGTACCATAGTACAGTATTTTGTTGTTGTTCCCCCCTTCCCCTTTCCTCTTATTTTTGCCAGCAAGCTGGGCTGAGGGAACACCGTTCTTCTCAGTAGTTCCTTTTAGATTTAAATGTGACAATTACACATATGTAATTCTTTACATTCTCTATGTAAATACACTAAAACGTTTCTTGCCGTGAATCAGCTAAATCAGTCACTGAAATCCAAAGTTTAAACTTACACCACCTAAGGCTGATGATGGCATCAGCCAAAGCGATTTTTCAGTAATTAAAAATTTCTGACCCCAACCCCAAAGGGCCCAAAGGTCTCTTGGGACCCCTTTTGTTGTAAGAAAGCCTCTGCAGGATTGTGGGATGGTGGTAGGAAGTCTTTGCTTCTGAAATCTGCAGCTGGTGGTGATTTTCAGAACTTAAAGATGCACACAACCATTCCATGACCCTCCCCCCCATGCAAGGGGGGGAGCATTGGGACCTTCGTAAATATTAAATTTCTGAAAAACTGCTATGCATGATGACATTGTCAGCCTTACATGGCAAAAACAACAGGATTTCAGCCACTATTTTTTGAAATTATTGTAAATAGTTTCTTCTTCTGTTGTAGATGGGTCCATATTGTTTGTGCACTCTACGTTCCAGGAGTAGCATTTGGAGATATTGACAAATTGAGACCCGTCACGCTTACGGAAATGAACTATTCTAAATATGGTGCTAAGGTAAACATTTATTTTAGATGAGAACTTAGTTGACTGTTTCCTTGTTTCCTTTGTTTTCCTTTGTAGTGTGTTGCACTAACTCTCAAAATATATGGAAGACAGAATATAGACAAGCTCTTTTTTCTCTACATATAAACTGTGTTGCGTGGAGATAAAAGTTCAATCTACTGTATTTCATGTGTATTAATACTGGTGCAGAAAATCCCCAAAAGTTTGCCTACCCCAGACTTTTTAAGACTGTCCTTTCCTTCAGTTTTTGAAAAATAAATGATGTAATTTCAGGGAGTGGCAGACTCAGGGGTGTTTGGAGGTCCTAAAACATGACAAAATGACACCCACACCTTCCAGAGTAGTTAAAGGGATATTTTGAGCTTTTTTTAAAAAAAAAATTGGGGGCAGCATGACGAAGGGCCTCAGTAATGCTAGGAACCACATTTGGGTCCCAGTTTTATGTTTCTTCACTGGGCTTTGGTTATAATAGAATTAATCACAGGGCAGTGTTAATGCAGCCAGCCTAATTAATCCTTCACTATAACACACTAATGTTGATTTGACAATACATGAGATTTGAAAAAGTAAATGTTTGAGTAGGTTTAGAATAGGTCTCAGTTTGGCATTAATCAGAATTTCCTCAGATTTGACTCTCAGGAGGGGAATAATCCTCTGGTACTGTATTTTTTAACTTGCGTTAATGTTAAACTTAAATATGTGAAGTTTGGTAAGCGAAGTTGTGAAAAATATCAGTTTGATGGTGCAATATTCCATGTTTGGTTTTGTGTATATTATTACTTAGCTACAATGATTTTTACCATTCATCACATGTAACCTGTCTTGACCTTGTATTTAAAAGGTGGGATAGAAATGTTCTAAATAAATCATTAGCCCATTCCAATCAGATTTTGTGATCAAACATGTTTATGTGTGTTCACATACAAAATGTAATGTATGTGAAAACTATGTGAGAGTAGTGAATGCTGCAATTCAGTGTGAGGGTGCATCAAGTTTTATATACTTTGGTTTTCTCTCCCACTGTTTTTGTTTCTTGCTTGTGTTATGGATAAGAAGGCATTTGTTTTCCAAATTTGATTTTAACTTTTGTGAAAGCATCTTCTAGGACATTTTTAGATACTATATGCAGTTAGTACTTGGGCTCTCTTTTGTAACTGTTAGCTTTCTCACTGTTCTGATACAGGAATGTAGTTTTTGTGAAGATCCTCGTTTTGCTAGAACTGGAGTTTGCATCAGTTGTGATGCTGGGATGTGTCGAGCTTATTTCCATGTGACCTGTGCTCAGAAGGAAGGTCTGTTGTCAGAAGCTGCAGCAGAAGAGGTAGATATACAATACTATTTTTACTTATTTTATTTTATTTTATTTTATTTTATTTTATTTTATTTACCATGCAGGAAAATGGGCTGAGGCATACACCTGTACCATTTGACAACCTATTCCTGAAACTGAGAACTAGATCAAAACAAATGTTTTTCTTCTTTGTCTATTTTGTGTTGAAATGTCTCTGGTTAGTTCAAGTAATATAGAAATCCTATTCTCTTCAGACTCTATGTATATGAATTTGTGTAGCATATTTCAAACTGTTTTCTTCTTCTGACTGGAACTGTTTTATACTTTCTTGCTTTCTTTTGGAACAGGATATTGCAGACCCCTTTTTTGCTTACTGTAAGCAACATGCGGACAGGATGGATAGAAAATGGAAACGCAAGAACTATTTAGCTTTACAGTCTTATTGCAAAATGTCTTTGCAAGAGAGAGAAAAACAGCTCTCACCAGAAGCTCAGGTAATATACCCACAGTAAGCTTGCAGGATAGGAAAGAAAGGCCAGAGCTGCACAGGTTGCAGTTTTCAGTATTCTTCAAACAGTAATTCTTAAACAAGTTTTGGTGCTATACTTGCTTTCAAACAGTCCAACATGTATTCTCAGGCCATATGAGTCTTTATAAAGTGATCATCAAGTAATCTTTTCATGGCCCCATTCTTCTTTCATCTAATTACACCCTGCCTCTCCAAATCTCAACCCTGATTAGCTTTCTTGGTCCTGACTAAGTTTCAGTTTAATTACTTCTTTACTATTATCCCAGTACTTTACTTAGTATAACTTTTTTGCTTCCCTGTGGTTTGTGCTGTTATCAGCTAACTGGAAGTAACTCTGGTTAGACTTAGGAAAGCAGTTACGAACTGTTGCCTCCTTGGGAAATAAGTGACAGATGGATTCATTCCTTATGGAGTATAATGATTGTGTGCCATCAGATCAGTTCTGACTTTTGGTGATCCTTTTGGGCAATAACTAAAACAAAAAAGGAATTCAGAGAATTCCAGAAATATCTTTCCAAATTGGGAATGGGTGTTACTGGCAGTTACTGAACAGTTAAACCTATACTTAGAGATGGGGGGTATTCATATAAGAATATGAATAGCCTGTATATGAATATGAATAGACTTAACAAGGGTCCAGGCCCCTGGGGCCAGACCATCCACTCATTCATCCGCCAGCACTGGTGGCCTCAGTCAACCTTTCAATCGCTCCCAGAGTGCCACTCAGCTAGCAACTCAGAATACTTGCAGAGAGACTCGTTCTCCCTCCCATTTCCCTCCCATGAGCCTCGTGGCGCAGTGGTTAAACCACTGTACTGCAGCTAAAACTGTGCTCACGACCTGGGGTTCAAATCCCAGATAGCCGGCTCAAGGTTGACTCAGCCTTCCATCCTTCCGAGGTCGGTAAAATGAGTACCCAGCTTGCTGGGGGGGACAATGTGTAGCCTGTATAATTAAAATTGTAAACCGCCCGGAGAGTGCTTGTTGCGCTATGGGGCGGTATATAAGTCCAATAAATAAAATAAAATAAAATAATAAATAAAATATAAATAAATAAATAAATAAATAAATTTATTTCCAGGAGAGGTTAGCCAAGCAGAGCTCTGGGAGTAATTGGAAGGAAGAGTGAGTGGACTGTCTGGCCCTGGGGGTCCAGACCCTTGTTAAGTCCAGCTGTGTGGGGGTGCCCATATATGAATACAAATACCCCCATCTCTACCTATAACTATTAAAAACATCATTAGTTCAAAACAATTTCAAATACATTTTAAACACATGATAAAAATCGAACATTCTGCATCCTCTACTGAAACCTCCAATCCTGCTATGGTATTTAGAAATCAAAAGCAAGTTTAAACAGGAAGGTTTTTTTCTTGCCAAAGGAAGGACCACAAAGAAAGGGCCCATCTAGCTTCCATAAACAGCCACCAAAAATGTCCTTTCTTGACTCTCACCAAACATGCCTGCAATGGTGTCAGGATCAAAACATATAGCCTGGACCCAAGCCATATAAGGGCTTTAGGGATCATAACCATCGCTTTGAATTGGGCTTAGAAATGGACTAGCAGCCAGTGAAGTTGTTTCGGCAGGGGAATTATATGGTCCCTGTAACAAGCTTCAGTTAGCAAGCTGGCTACAGCATTTTGAACCGACTGAAGATTCCAAAATGTCTTTGAAGGCCACATGGACCATATTACAGGAGATGTATAAAATTATGCAAAATATGGGGCAAGTCTATATAGGGAGAGGCTTTTCACCCTCTCTTACCATGTTGATTAAGAACAGCAAAGCAAAGTATTTTCTTTGCGCTGTGCATAGTTCAGCTGTGGCATCTGTTAGCCCAGAATCAGGTGATGCTGCCTAATTGGATGCTTTAAAGGGAGATAGACCAATTCATGGAGTATAAATGATCAGTGTATGAGTATGAGTGTTTGGAGTATGGATTTTTACATCAACTGTAGCCTTGTGGCACAGTAGCTAAACTCAGCCTTCCATCCTTTTGAGGTCAGTAAATTGAGCGTCCATCTCGCGAGGGAGGGGGGCAATGTGTAGCCTTCATTATTAAATTGTAACCCACCTAGCGAGTGTTTTAAGCTCTATGGGGCAGTATATAAGCAGCACACATTTCTATGAATGCCAGTTCATGAGGAATATGACTCTGTGAGTGCTACTGAATCTGTTTGCATGTGAATCTTCTGTTGGCATCTAGTTGACCACTGTGGGATCGGAATGCCTGTGTAAATAGGCCTTTGGTCCAATCCAGTGAAGCTCTCCATAAGGATTTTGAATTTCCATGATGGAATAAAAACAAAATACTGAAATAACATCATTACCAAATTGTTTTGGGAATTCTGAAGACTTAAGTATATGACTTTAAAGATGTTTAAGGTCTTCTCTAAACATTATGTCTTCTTGTCATAGGTTCAGTATGGAAGCATATTATTAAACCATCATTTTGGAATATCAAAATTCATTTCCTCCCACTTAAAATATATGTGTACAGTAAAAGTATTAATATGTTCATTTGTCTGTTTTTATATGCTTTTAAAAATCTGTAGGCCCGAATTAATGCCAGACTACAACAGTATCGTGCTAAGGCAGAACTAGCACGTACCACAAGGCCACAGGCCTGGGTACCAAGAGAGAAGCTGCCGCGGCCGCTCACTAGCAGCGCTTCTGCAATACGGAAGCTAATGCGCAAAGCAGAATTGATGGGAATTAGTACAGACATATTTCCAGTGGATACTTCAGATACCAGTTCCAGTGTTGATGGAAGACGAAAGCACAAACAACCAGCCCTAACTGCTGATTTTGTGAATTATTATCTTGGTAAGAGGAAAGATGTTGAAGTTTTCTTAAACAGCTTTCAGTAGTCACCTAATAGATCCTTCTGTAAACTGGAAGGATGTGTTATATATAAAAGAGCTGGGTTATGCTAGCCAATTGTGTATCTATACATGATCCATGTAATCTCTTAGTTTCAGGTTTTAACAAATGTAGCAGCCATTAGTTATGAAAGTAAAAAAAAATCTATATAACACTTTGAAGCAATGAGTGATATTCTATGGGAAAAAGTAACAACAGCCCTTTTTTATTTATAAAATGTATTGCCTGCTTTTTATGATAGAAACAATCTCAAAACAGCATACAATAGTAATAAAATTCAATAAATACTTTAATCTTCCAGTAAAATAGAAACAAGGGAAACCTTATGTATACTTATGTATACTTAGGCCTGCCACCCCCCCGCCACCCCCAGCACCCCCCACGGCAAAGCGGGGCTTTCAGAGGTGCATTTTCACTGCTGAAAAAGCCCCAGGCTTCTGAAAGCAGCGCAAGGGCGGGCTCTGGGGTGGCGGGGGGGTGGCGGGCCTGCCCCTATCACACCCCCACCCACCCCACCCCAGCAAAGCGCTGCTTTCAGAGGCTTCCCCAGTGCATTTCCACTGCCTGTTTATCTGCTGGGCAAGCCTGGGGAAGCTTCTAAGAGCAGCGCCGATCAGCTGTGAGGCGGGGAGGGGGAGAGGCTGCAGCGGAGAAGATGGCAAAATAGCCTCCCGCTGTGTTTTGGCCTGGAGTCCTCGCTTACCGGGCAGCAAAAATGGCCGCCATATGGAGGATTTTTGCATACAGGTGAGGTTTTTTGCCCATAGGAACGCATAAAACAGGGTTTAATTCATTCCTATGGGCTTTTTTATTTTGCATAGCGACGAATCTGTATAGCGACGATTTTGGCTGCACGGAGTATCGTCGCTATGTGGGGCACCACTGTATTTGCATTTATCAACTCTGGTGTCTGGGTTGGCACACTTAGATAAATAATTGGCTGCTGACATATTAGAGAGCGTGTATATGGGTTCCACCTCATGGCCTTTCTGACTGGATGTTGTTGTTGTTAATTAATAATGATGATGATGATGACGACGACAACAACAACAACAACAAAACAACCTGTATCTGTTATATAGTACTGTACCAGTCAATGTTTTAATAATTTTGATTGACTGTGCCTGGTATTTTTGAACAATGATAATATTTTGCTACTTTTTCCATGAGCACTTTACTTCTGAGGTTATAGTAGCACTGTGAAACCAAATAAATTGTAAAGGTGCTGACTCTTCTTTTTAGAGAGAAACATGCGCATGATCCAGATCCAGGAGAATATGGCAGAACAGAAGAAAATTAAGGATAAACTGGAGAATGAACAGGAAAAACTCCATGTGGAATATAACAAGGTAAAATATATGTTTGTAACAACACAGTGAATCTTGAAAGTAAAACTGAAGCATGATTAGATATAGAAACATTGATCATTCCCCCTACCAAATCCTACATTAGATGAAATCTTAAAAGCAAATATATTAGATCTTTTAACAGTTGGTAATGAATTAACTTGGTGCAAAGAGATCCTTATGCATACAGTCTGGTAGCTCTCTTACCCTTGCTTTCTCTAGATTTGCTCCCTATAAATGCTGAGGCAGCATCTCATTAATGCAGACCTCTGTCAGCCGGTGTATGGTAACTGCGACAGAGAATTTCTGTCTTTACCTTTCAACATAGAGTCATAACAGAGTTCGGGGGCATTTCATTCAATGCTGTGCAGCATAAAACTGTTGATGGGATAGTTGGTTCTGTTGACATCAGCTCTACACACCTGTGAAGGGGGGGGGCTATTCATTCAATTCCATGCAGTTGCATATTGCTCAGATGCCTTCTACTTCATATCACAAACCACAGACTACCACAGTATGCAAGACAGTTTTTCTCCTGTTACGCTGACATAAAGTGAAAGTCTTGGCTTGAAGTGGCTTCATTTTGGGATATTTGAGGGAAGCAGTTAATTACAGAAAAATCAGTTCCATAATACAGAAGATATGTAGTGCAAAAATACCGAAGATTGATTGTTGTAGCTCACAAGTACGTATATACCTAAATTGTTTAAGATGAATAGAAGACAATACTATAAAAATTGAAACTGTGCAGATGTTGCTTTTTAAAAAACTTCCTTTCAAACAGAAACAAAAAACGTGTACAAGAAATAAGGAGCTAGAGAAACTTATGAGACATAGTGTGATTTTATATTTTCTCATCTTATTCAGAGTTTGCAGATGTATCACATTGGAATCTGAATTCCTTGTGCAGAAGTACATATCATGTATTTGCAGAAAGAAATAAAGTGGAACTGTTGTGATGTTTCTTGACTGCCATTATAGCCTTATTGTCAGACAAAATTGCTTTAGGTTCTCTGTTACTAACCAGATGGATGCCCATGTTTTCTTTCTGGTATTATTGAATGGCTGATTAACTTTACTGATTTCAGTTGCATTGACATGACTGAACAATTTTTATTATTTAATTAGCTCCCTTAAACAGGTATTGTGAGTAAAGAATGCCTCCTCCTGGAAAAGAGGTGCTAAATAACATTCACAGTGGTTTTCACTTCTTTTTTTTCCAGTTGTGTGAATCTTTAGAAGAACTTCAGAACATGAATGCAAAACTTCGTAATGAAGGACAAGGAATATGGGCCGTGCTAGGCAGAATTATTGGGCAGGTTGGTTTCCCCCCATTCCTTAAGAGGCATGGTTATTGTTCCCTTTAAACATCTTGCAGATTGTATGGTTTGTAATAGATTTTTCTGTATCTGATTGTCACCTTTTGTGCCTGAAAGGATGTATTTTTTAAATTTAATAATATTTAATAAGCTACAATACAGAAACCCATAAAATAGTTATAAAGCATCAGACTCCACATAATAAACATATAAAATAATATTACTAGTTAACATAACACATGTTTTCATAAATCAGAATGAGTGGCTTGTGGATTGCTAAGAGAATCAGTATGATTATTACATTATTGAATAAAAGGAAGCCAGGTTTTATGAAACTAGTCTATAGTAGAGTTCTGGTACCTCAGTTGTGAGTCAGCAGTAAGTTTTTCCATAGATTCCCAAACATGCATTGAAATTTCTACAGCTGTCTTCCAACACTGAGCAATTGTTGTCTAGCCGCTACACACAAATAGTTACCTCTTTATGGTGTAGTGGTGCATTGGAATCTAAGAATAAATTGATACTTTGTGATAGTTGTAGAAGGGGTAGCCATGTCAGTCTGTGCAAGCAAAATAAAGAGTAAAAAAAAACACAAAAATGTGGTGGCACTTTAAAAACTGGTTCTTATGTTCTTTAATGTGAGTTTTTGTGGACAAGTCTACTTCATCAGACATAAGTGGTATTTGAAGAGCCACCATGTTTTTGTCTCTCTCTCTCTTTTTTTTAACTCCTTATTTTTATTTTGTTTTCACCTATAATACTTTGTGGTGTTATATTTCTAATTTTTTCAACCCAGAAATTGTATATTCTAGGGCACTGCCACCAGGAATGATTCTGATTCTTTATTAGGGTCACTGACCAGCAGATATAATCCAATATTATTATTATATACCGTGTTTCCCCAAAAATAAGACAGGGTCTTATATTAATTTTTGATCCAAAAAACACACATTAGGGCTTATTTTCAAGGGATTTTTTTCATGTACAACAATCTACATTTATTCAAATACAGGCATGCCATCTTCTGGTTGCTGCACAATGGTGGAGGGTGAGGCTTCACTTAACTGGGGCTTATTTTTGGGGTAGGGCTTATATTATGAGCATCCTGAAAAATCATACTAGGGCTTATTTTCAGGTTAGGTCTTATTTTCGGGGAAACGGTATATTAGTATAACACAAAAATACAATTAAAATATACAGTCTATTACAATATGACTAAATTTTATAGAATCTCCATAGTTTCACAGGATTCAGGAGATCAGTAAATCAATTCAGGAAATTTCGTACCACCTCCAATCTCATCGTCCCATATAGTGTGACATATAAAGTATATGGTGGCCAATAAACACCATTACTAAACATCAGACATTGCTTTAATTGGTGCAAGGAGGGAACAGCGACACTTCATTGCTGCCATACAAAACTTTGCCACTGCTTTAGTTTTATCAGATTTCTTGAGAGTATGAGGACAACACAAAATTGTCTGGACCTCCCTTTAAATTATTGCAGTATGGGCTGGAGGAGATCCTTCCGAATATTTCCATAGAAGGAGCTCTTTAAGAGGACATGATCAGCACTTTCAGTTTCCTCCTCATTGCAAGGGCATGCTCAATTAGCAACCGGCAAACCCTGATATATACCTTCTAGTAATTTCGACATAAGTACGTTAAACCTAGCTGACATAAAAGCTTTCCTAAATTTGGGGGTTGTTATTTTAAATAGATAATTGGGCATTCTAAATGTACTATTCCTAAATACACTAAGTTTGTCCAGACCCTCTAAATGTTCTTGGAGCTCAACATTCCGGATCCTCTTTTTCATGGCTGCCTTGGCATTAGCATGGCCCATCATTAAGTGGACACCTGGGGAGAAGCCCAACAATTCAGCAGATACATTCCTCTTCCAAGTTGACTGGAAGTCTGTTAATATCAAGGGTGCCAAACCTGTGGAAGCAAAAGCAAATTTCAACCAGTAATTAAACATGTGGGCCAAAGCACATGCTTTGATCACCAGGAATGTAAATAGGTACCAATTTCTTTACAGCCTCTCCACCAATTTGGGTCCAAACTTTTGTTTATATGATTCACTTCAAAGGAGTATGCTATTAGTGTTGGTTGCACTTTGAGCCTGGAAAGATGTATTTAAGAAATCTCTGGCCTTTCTCTCAGGATAATGATTTCAGATTGAAAAATATCTAGGGATCTGCAAGCTACTACAGGGAATCTGTAGTTTAATGTTGTTCTTGCATTTGCTATCTTGTTTGGAAAAATCTTTCATTTGCCACAAACTGATTGACCTGTCTTTTATAATGAAGCTAAATCTGAAGCATAGGGAATCTAACTGCATTTCTTACTGGTTTTTCGCTAACAGGTGTAGCATTCAAACAGCAGGGTTTGTTGAGATGTATTGTTCTTCAGCCCCTTATGCATAATATGTCCATGGCTAAAAGCAGATATGTTTTTTTTTGTTGGTGGTGGTGGTTTAAATTAATAAGGCTTTCAGAAACAAAAGATCCTAGAACACAACTGATTATTTCTTGATAGTAGTAATATTTTGTTAGTTGTTAAAGGTGAATGCTGCAGCTTCTCAGTTTTTTTATTCACTGAATATTTCATGTATAAATCAGCAGAATACAGTATTTTAATTTGATTGTATTTTTAGCTGTCTTTGAAGATGGCACAAAATGATTTACCCTCATTTAGTGCCTGTTCTTACCCTGATTTTCCCATCTTCTGTACTGTAGAAGTTATGTATGCCACTCCCTAGCTGGCTTGTTGGAAACATTGATGAATGGCAATGATTTTTTTATCTTGGCTTTCCCAAAAGGCTTATAACTGATGTCCATTACAGTTACACAGATTTCTCATTGATGCTGATGTCTTTTACACATTGTCTCCCAATATGAAGCAAAACAAAGCAATAAATAAATAAATAAAATAAGAAGACAAAAACATTATGTTTTCATGTGAGCTTTCATTTTGTCCAAAGAAGTGGACTTGTCCATGAAGGCTCACATTAAAATACAGCATTTAGTCTTTAAGGTGCCACAACATTTTTGTCTTCTTTATTTTTATTTTTATCTTAATATAAACAAGCTATTGGCTTTTTGTGCAATTTATACTTAATCTTTTAAGATTATAAAAATAATGTTGTGTGAAACCAGACCAAGATCAGTAACGGTTTTATAAATATATTTGGTTTGTGTTGACAATCTTGAATTAACCATGCATCTAAAATATTTGATAGGTCATGCTAAACTGGCTGAGTGTATAATTTAAAAAAGTTAATGTGGGCCTTTTATACGTACAAGAATCGGTCTTCATGAATATAAGTTTGCCAGTATTTAGTTCCTCCCTTTAAAAAAAAATAGAATATTCACAAATGTATTTCCTGATGCAACCATTTAATAATATTAAAAAGTAGTAGTTTCATTTGCACAGCTTGCATGACACTTTTTTCCAGTTGGTTGAACAGATGCAGGCCTACAGGGCCACTGAGAAATGACTTTGATAGATGGTTGCTGTCTGTGAAGCTAGCATACTGCAGATTAGTAGAAACCCGAAGAGAATGTCTCCTGCTTTGTGGAGTGTTTGGTCCAATAAGATAATTTTTCTAATTAACCTATGGAGCACCACTGTAGCAGGGATGCTGAGGAAAATAAACTGCTTCAATATTCTTTTGTGAAGTGTAGTGGATTTTTCTTTTTTCTTTTAACCTTCTAAACCAGCTTGTCCTTGTCTGTCTCTGTTAAAGCTTCCTCTGTTAAGGGGGAAAGTTAAAAAGCCAGGGCTTTAATGTCTCTGGCTTTTTTTTTCAGTGAAAAATATTGGGATGCAATTTCATTTTTTGGAGAAGCTTGCATTGGGACAGGATATATTGCATAGTCATTTCTACAACCTGACTAAGCAGTTTTCTCTTAATTTTTAGCAGCAGTTTGGCCAGGTTTTATGACTGATTTGTAGTAGATGAGGGGAGCAGTATATGACATGCATCTCTTACCAGTGTTTTTGTATTTCTCCAAACCTGATAGAAACTGAATATACCAGCAATTCTACGTGCACCTAAGGAGAGAAAGCCAAGTAAAAAAGAAGGTGGAACCCAAAAGACCACGACACTTCCAGCAGTACTATATAGGCAAGTAGTAGCAACACACTGCAGTAGACATTGATGATAAAAAGGATAAAATGTGTATATATAGTGCAAGAGTGAATTTCAAACAACTTAGTAACATTTATTCATCCTTTCCTTTTTATTGCTAGATATCACCAATAGTGTGCTGCTTAACCTCATCAGTTTTAAATATTTCTTCCTTCATTATAACTATTTCCATGAGGAAAATATCAGTACTAGGGTTTTCTCCATCCGCTGGCAGCACTTCAAAAGGAAATTCACTTTATGTCTAATATCTTCATTATTTTATGACAGACAGCTGAGATCCTTTGAATACAGTATTAGTGCAGATCATTCAGAAAATTCTGAACAAAATTGTTGTGGATCTTTAAATCTGATCTTATTTTTTGAGAAGTCAAGATTTTATATATTAAATATACCATTTCTATCAATCACAAACAGTTTCTGGGAACATAAAATATGGCTTGTTTGATCAGACCAAAGGTCATTTTGTTCAGCAATCTGTCTCCATCAGTTGCTTGCCAGACATTCTCATGAGTGCAGTAATGAAAAACATCCCTTGCTGGCAGTTCCCAGCAATCAGAAGTATATCGCTCCTGGTCACTGAAGTACCAACTCAGTTATCATGGCTAAAATTTTTTGAATTGCTTTGACTCACTTATCCTTTCTGGATCTTCATAACCTTGTATGTCTGTATTTATTTAATTTGTTTTTCTGTACCGTACTTGATCACCAGGAATATAAATTTTATATCCAGAATAGTAGCAAAGGAATATAGGAAAACAGATTTTTTAAGATCAAATAGTATAAAAGTTCTAAATCAGCAATATCTAAATTTGGTAATTTAGAATCAGTCTAGATTGAAAGCTGTCTGGATAGCTCGGTGGTTTAGGTATTTACCTGGCTATGGAGCTAGAGGTCTGTACTTCTTGTGAGTAAAGCCAGCCTCTGGCCATGGGGAAGCTGCATTGTCCCAGGCCCCAGAAGAAGGGAATGGTAACTCACTACTTAGTATTCTTTACCTGGAAAACCTTGAAAAGGGTAGCTGTAAGTCAGAATTGACTTGACAGCATGTGACTATGGTATCATATTAGAATGAAAATGAAATTACAGTTTGAAAACATCAGGATAATGAAAATCTTTTAGAACCCCTGGACAGATAAGTATAATGTAATATGAGTTCACAAAGAATATAGAGTTGATACAACCAATGGTCCTTCTGAGGGATATTCCAGAATTGCAGTGCCACCAGAGAAAAGATTATAGCTTAAAGAAGATTCTCTTTTGTAAATGTGTAATGCACTGTTTCCAGTTAAATTTAATTGAAAGGGTCTTCTCTGAAAATATTAATCCAGAGACAGCATGATATGGGGTGTGGATAGGAATGCATTCTTTTTCTTATTGGACCCAAGTACAGTAATTTAGAAAATTAAAGGTGATTATCACTTTAAATTGGATCTTTAAAAGGCAATTTAAACTAGTGGTTGTCACCTGGCTTGTAAAAAATTCAACATTAATTATATACATGCAAAGGAATACTTTTTCTTGTGAATCATCTAATAGATTATTTCATTACTTGACCGAAGTATTACCTTCCTTCCTATGCGGATTTCCTTCATTCGTAATTTTATAAATTGCTGAATTAGCTCTATTGAATGTTTATTTATCTTCTATAGTAGTAGCATCTCCAAAATAATTACTATTGCTTATTGGACATTTTGCATTATTGCCTTATCCTAGAAAAAGGATCTATCACAACAGTTTTTCACTTTACATGCTTAAAATGAACCCATTGAAATCAGAAAGTCATAAGCGACAAGTTTCATTGATTTCTATTTGTTTGTGCTGAGCATAACTAAGTCTTTATCCAGCACTGAAGTTTTTGATTCTGACTGAAAATAGCTTTCTGCATTTTCTCATTTAATAATAATAATAATAATAATAATAATAATAATAATAATAATAATAATAATAATAATAATAACTTACATCCCCTGTAATATGAAGAGATCTTTTCATTTTCACAGATCCAGTTCAGATTGAAGGCTAATTTAGAGAAAATTTATGAATGTATTTATTTAATTTTTTCATCTTGCCTTTCTCCTTTAAAAGGACCCAGATAAGTATCTGAATTTTAAAGATTTCATCTACAGATCCTTTAAAGTCCTTAATAGCTAATTAGGTATTTAAATTCAGATCTCCCAAGTCTTAGGATTTTTGGATTTCACACCAAACTGACTTGTTGGGCACGTAATGTCAGATGCAAAGGCATATATGAGAAGTCATAAATACCCAAAAGCCAATAGGGGAAAACATTGATTTGGATCCACTTACGCAATAGGACTTCCCTTCCCCTTCTATCCTGCAATATCTTCTGACCCTCCAAAAGCTTCTTCTGGGAGTCAGGAATCTCTCTAAAACAGGACAGGATAATCAGAAAGAAATGAGGAACACCATTTAGACAAGCAGAAATGGCTTCTGCTTTCTCAAGAGGTTCTGTAAATCCCATTCCATGTAAATATTGAAATGAACCAGTAAGGTCTGTGCATTATTTCATATGAAACTTTCCTCCTGTATTTCCCAAGTTGTGGGATTTGCAAGAAGAACCATGATCAACACCTCCTTTTGCTGTGTGATACTTGTAAACTCCATTATCATCTTGGATGTCTGGATCCTCCACTGTCACGGATGCCAAGGAAGACTAAAAACAGTTACTGGTAAGAATATTATATATGCCTTGTACTACTTATTAAAACTTTTTTAAAAAAAGAATCTGCAAGTATGAGGACCTGCATCTTTAGGGAAGGGAAGATTATCTTAGCTTGTTCTGTATTTTTTTGACCTTTTTAAATGTGTATTTGATTTTGATATCAGTGCTTGCTTTTATACATTCCTCAAACAAATTTCTCTTTGGCTTCTTTTCTTTTATTGTGTTGATTTTTTAAAAAAACAATTCTTCACAAGTTTGCTATTGACTATTGCAAATGCATCATACGCTTACTGTACGTTCTTGGAAGTAAATTAAACATTATGCCTTTTGTCTGATTGAGAGAAACAGCACTTAGCACAACCATACTTAATGTTACAAAGGTTCTTGCATTTAAAAGGGCTGCAGTGTGCATTATATTAAAGTTCTGCCTATTCTGACAGTTGGACCCTAACTTAAAAATCTCAATGTGAGGGAGCAGTGTTGTATCTGCAATTGTTTTAAGACTTTGGCATCATTATTTAAGACTGCTATATAGCCTATAAAAAGGATTATAAAGTTTTACTTGACTGCGATTTTATTGATGTAAGTAGTGTTTTGCCATATTCCTATTAGCCATCAAATAATTCTGAGTTGACCGCAAGCAGGTTGCAAAATGTCTTTAAGTCAAACACCCAAATTTTGCATTATTCTTTCCCTTTTTGTTGGGGGAGGTTCCATATAACCAGTGTTGTACAATAAAGACACACTTATGCCAAAAATCAGTAGTAAAAAATGCCAAAAATGGCTTGCAGTTTTACTTGGACAAACTGTTTTGTAGATTAGATTAGCAATACAAGGAAACAGTTTTTTCTCCAGAACTGCAGGATGAGTGTTTTTCCCAAGCCTTTTTGTGGCTGACATGCTTTGAAGAATCTTTTGAATTTTGTCAGTTACAGTACACTTCCTGGTTAATGACCAAAATTATTATTATTATTATTATTATTATTATTATTATTATTATTATTATTATTATTATTATTATTATTATTATTATTATTATTATTATTATTATTATTATTATTATTATTATTATTATTATTATTATTATTATTATTATTATTATTATTATTATTATTATTATTATTATTATTATTATTATTATTATTATTATTATTATTATTATTATTATTATCATCATCATCATCATCATCATCATCATCATCATCATCATCATCATCATCATCATCATCATCATCATCATCATGTTACTAACGTTGCCTGATATTAGCAATCATATTGTCACTATAACATTCACTCCCTGTGTTTAACGTTGTTGCACTATAGAATGATTGGGAGAGGGGCGGGGACAAGATCAGGCTGTGCTACCAGAGAAATTGAGCTAATATGCGAAATAATGTTATTACCAGTGACTTCCATATTCTGTATGGAATAAGGCAAATGACCTGCTGTCTAGGACATTTGGCAGTGGACCCGCACACCGATATTGTCAAGAACAGATGGCACATCTTTACTCTTTCCCACTAATAAACATGAGTATTCACTAAGTAACGTACTTCAGTTGAGCACGCCATTAGGATGAAGGCTTCTTACTCCTACAGAGGAGTGTTGCCTTCCTTGTATGGGAATGCACTGTGTATCTATGTAACATATGCACTCTCCTTCTGTAGTAAGGTAAAGGTTCCCCATTTAGTTCAGTTGTGTCCGACTCTAGGGCGCAGTGCTCATCCCCATTTCCAAGCCATAGAGCCAGTGTTTGTCCGAAGACAGTTTCCATGGTCACGTGGCCAGCACGACTAGACAGGGAACACTGCTACCTTCCCACCAAGGTGGTACCTATTTATGTACTTGCATTTTTACATGCTTTCGAACTGCTAGGTTGGCAGGAGCTGGGACAAGCAATGAGAGCTCACTCCGTCACGTGGACTCGATCTTACGACTGCTGGTCTTCTGACCTTGCAGCACAGAGGCCTCTGTGGTTTAACCCGCAGCACCATCACATCCATTTTCCTTCTGTAGTAGTACCATGTAATAGACAAGATTATTTTATACTGTATCTTAAATGTTCACTGTGATAGGAAGTTAATTTTTTCCATCTGTGTGTCTTCTATCAAAGTTACAGTTATCTTTAGAAATAATAAAATAAACATTGTGTGCAATATCTGTACAGTGGCGCCGCAACTTACGAACGTCCCTACTTATGACCATTTTGATTTGCGACCAGCTCCGGCTGCAAAATTTTGCTTCTACTTGTGACTGGAGCTTCAACTTACTAACAGAAAAAGACAGAGAAAAAAGGCAGGAAATTCAAATTTCTAACTGTAGGTGGTGACGAGACTGCTTCTTTGTAGCTCTTTCACTCATCAGTTACAGAGTGTGCATCAAGAAGGCTTGGGACTGCCTCGCTTCTGCTCCTGAGTGAGCGTGTATGTGTATTTGCAGGGAGGCTTCGGGCTGCCTGGTAAAGTTTGGCAGCCAGACTCCTTAGTGGAGTGAGGAAATATCAGCATATCTCCCACTCTGGCTGTTTTGAATTGGCTGCCCATTTGGTTCCGCATTGACTTCAAAGTTTTAATGCTTACGTGTAAAGCCCTAAACGGTTTAGGGCCTTGATATTTGGCGGAAAATCTACCCGTATTACCCGATCGAGTCAGGAGGTGAGGCTGAGGAGCCTGACACCAAGGGAAGCCCGGAAGGAAAAAACAAGAAATCGGGCCTTCAGGGCGGTAGCTCCTCGCCTCTGGAATAACCTTCCTCCAGAGATTTGTGTGGCCCCTTCGCTGGGCATCTTTAAAAACCAACTGAAAATTTGGATGTTTATGCAGGCCTTCCCTCCAGCTAATGCTTGATTTCTTTCTTTTTTTTTTGTTCTTATACTTTTTATTTTTTTCCCTTTTTTAAAATCTTGAATAACTTGTCTATTGATGTTTAAAATTTTTGTTATATTTTATATGTGGTTATATATGTTGGTAGCCGCCTAGAGTGGTCATTCGACTAGATAAGCGGGGTATAAATGCAATTAAATAAATAAATAAATAAATAAATAAATAAATAAATAAATAAATGGTGCTGTTTTCTGCTTTTTAAAAATTGTTCTGGATGTTTTTGCAGTGTGGCTTTGGGCTTGGGGGGTTATGTTTCTGTGCTGTGATGGGTCTTGGGGGGGTTGTTCGTTTTTTGGGTTCCCCACATTTCCGATGGGTCTTGGGGGTTCTTGTTGCTTTTTGGAGTGTTTTTTCCCATTTCTGATGGGTCTTGGGGGGTTTGTTTTTTGGTTTTCCCCCCTATTTCCGATGGGTCTTGGAGGGTTTGTTTGTTTTTTGGATTTCCCCCATTTCCAATGGGTCGTGGGGGGGTTGGTTGCTTTTTGAGGTTTTTTTACCCATTTCCAATGGGTCCTGCATACTTCCCTTGCTTTTTCCTTTGCTCTCTTTGCATTTCTGATCTGCTCTGTTTGTTTTCTGTGCATTTCCAATGGGTCTTGCACGCTTGATTGCTTTTCTCCCCCCCCCCCTTTGGCTGGAAGGGATTAATCACGTTTCCAATGAGTCTTGCAGTGATTTTTTGTGGGTTTTTTCTTTGGCTGGAACGGATTAATCACATTTCAATGCATTCATATGGGAAATGGTGCTTTGACTTACAACCATTTCGAGTTACGCCCATCTTCTGGAACGGATTATGTTCGTAAGTTGAGGCACCACTATATATTTGTTACTATCTCAACATGTCCTCATCTCATGCCTTTCCTTTTCTGTCACTTGGTACTTCTGCAAAGCTAATTAGGATTGGGGGTGGGGCATAATTGAGGATAATGCAGCATTTTTATGATCAGGTATTCCCACCACCACTGCCATTCTTGGTACTCTTGAGAGTGGGGTTTCTAAGAGGTGCACAGCTGGCTGCTCCTCTCACTCTCCCAGAGTGTTCCCACAGCAAAGATAGACACAAAGCTGGGCAGGTGTGAGTATATGTAGGCCCAACATGAATGCATGTGTCCATGAGCGCGCACACCCCTAATTTTGTGCCCCTCCTTCATTGGGTGGTTAGAAATTAAAAGAGATAACTTTACAGTTAGTTTAGAACTAGCTCCCTTAAGTTGTTTCTAGTACAATTGCATTTCTAAGGTTGCAGTCCTGTATGTGCTTGCATAGAAGCAAGCTTCACTGAATTCAGTGGATATTCTTTTTTGAATAAGTATACACAAGATTGCGCTGGACATGACAATTTATGTTTTTGCTTGCACTGCTTAAAATGTATTGGCCAGGATCCAATGGTATACAGTGGTGCCTCGCAAGACGAAATTAATCCGTTCCACGGTTAATGCTGTCTAGCGAAAACTTTGTCTTGCGAAGCGAGTTTTCCCATAGGAATGCATTGAAATTTAACCAATGCATTTCTTTGTGGGGGGGAAGTCAGAAACAAACAAAAATTAAAATAAAGTCACTTACCAGGTACTGTAGACTGAGCCCGGCTCCTCACAGTGCCTTGGTAGCCCCGAAAAGCTGGAAAAAGAGCGCCAAACAACTGAGAGCCCGGACCCAGCAGGGAGGCGGCAGCCATTTTGTGCTCTTCTCTGCTCCCACCCACCCCTGCCTCACAGCTGATTGGCACTGGTTCTTAGAAGCTTCCCTGGGTTTGCCCAGCACCGGAAAAGAGCTGGAAATAAAAAATTGTGCTTTCCCCCTGCCCCCGGGGAAGCCTCTGAAAGCGGCGATTAGGGGAGGCAACACCTGAAAATCTACTCCAAATAATCTTGAGGCTACGTGCAGCTGTCGGGGTAGAGGGTAGAGTACAATTTGAGATTGCCTTCTCCTGGTTCCATTGATGGAGCTACTTCCATCAGCAGCAGTACACATTTGAACCTGGAGATAAATCAGGTAAAATGGACTTTCAGTGATCAAAATAAATTCTGTAGTAACTTGGTATTTTATTTTGCTTTTTAATGATATTGAAAAGGTTCCTTCAAAGTTATCAGATTAATAGGACATGAACTACACATCTCAGTGGTAGTAGGTCAGAGGGACAGCAAGGTCTTTCTTTCAAAAAGCTGCCATGTCTTTGCTATGAATTTCATGCTTCAGCTACACTTCTGATCACAAACTTAGCTTTCACTTTTAATTTAGCTCGGGTATATTCAGAGGGATAGGATTATAACAGAGAAATGGAGCCTTATTGATTGCTTCCTTTTCATCTTTAGATGTGTCTTTGTAAATTCTTTTCAAGATCAGGAGAAAGGATATGGAATAAGACCCTTATAAATGTGAAGTTCAACGAAACAATCTCCCTGCTGTTTGTGGTATACTTGCTATTTCAGATACTTCTCCCATTAACCCTTGGAATATCTACTCTGCTCTGAATAGTGTGCATGCAATCCTAAGTCGCCCTCACTTCATCCAAATTTTATAGTCAGTGGAATTTGGTTTGAAGTTAACAATGATGGTGGTTGGTGACAGTTCACAAAGTGAGCTTATGTAGTTCATTTCCTAACTGGATGTCTGTGATAGAAGATTCTGTATATATTTATAATAATAACAGTCCTGTAGTGAAAGAAAATGAAAATATCTAAATTTATAACTGAACAAAATATGTGCAGGAGAACTATGTGCAAACTGTAGGAATTTGTTGTTATCACCCCATGAGTACAGAATTTGGTGTCTCATTAAGAAATACTTTAGTTAATGGATACATTATGTGCTAGGTATATAAGATGCCTGAGCCTACCTACAAAAGATACAATATCAGTGTCTGCTGAAGATGTCCTTATACACAAACATTATTTGATTAGCCTTGTTAAACCTCCTCTACAGTTCTAATAAAAAGTATTTCAAAAACATTTCTGCATGAGTTGTTAATTTTTCTGAAATACACTAGGAAATGTTTGTTCATCAAAGTGTTTTTGATAACCACTCTCTCCCCATTTTTTTCAGCAAGCTTTGGATTTATGTTGAATGGCCTCTTATGAAATCTTTTTATTTAAGCATATGTCTGTATGAATTGGGATTTAGTTACTCACCATTTTTGAAATGATTGACTCCCCCAAACTCTTTCCCAGCTAGAAATCTTTCTCTCAGAGAAAAAAGCATACTCAGCATGTGATGTCACTGACAAAAATTAGAAGAAAAGAAACTTATGAAACTGGAGAGTGTATATATTTTCTGGAGACTATAGGCTACATCCAGTTGCTAGTCCAAACTAGCATTGAATTTATATAAATATACATTTAATATACATTTTTGTCATTTGGCAGCTGTTTTGTGGGATCTTCTCCAGCTCGGGCTGGAAGCTAGTGTTTGACTAGTATTATGGACAAAACTGTTTCATAAGTATGTCATGTTCTGAATGTGAAAAAGCACAAGAAAGATGTTGAGCTACAAATGAATGGTTGCTGTTCTCTTTCCATGCTGCACTTTTCCCAAATAACTACCCCTCCAAAATGCCTCTGTACAACTTTCTTTTTAAACCTGAGAGTGAAGGAATAGTTTGTAGTGTCATGGGTGACAAGAAACCAAAAACGTCCTGTTACATACTGAAATCTACCTTTCTGTGTTTGAGGGTTCTTTCATATTATAAAAAAAATACCCTTTTAAGTGCTTTTAACTTATTTTTCAACTTGCACATTCTTTTCTTCTTGGAATCTTTTATCTTCAGTTTCAATTTTTTTTCTTCCTAGGCAGTGTTCAGAGTGCGACCAAGCTGGTAGTAGTGACATGGAAACAGACATTGCCATGGAAACTTTGCCAGATGGAACCAAGCGATCAAGGAGACAGATTAAGGAACCAGTGAAATTTGTTCCACAGGATGTACCCCCAGAACCAAAGAAGATGCCTATCAGAAACACGGTAAATAGCACAAAACTACACACATTACAGTCTGTTACTTTAAAGCGAACATTTTAAAAGTGCCAGATTCCTGCGTATAGCAGTATAAAATGAACAGGATACGTTCTAGTTTTCTTAAGAAATGTTAAGCACATTATAGATATCTGCGGTTTGCTTTAACAGTGAATGATGAAATACGTTTCTGTTTGTCCCCTATAGGATTGTTTCACATATCCTTTAGTATTCTGCCGTTTTCTTTTTGTGCAGATAAGCATAACATAATTTAAATCTTTCAGCTTATGAAACTATTGCCTGTAAATTATAGCAGTAAGAATTAAATAGCATTTTCCTATTGCATGTCCAAACTTCCTCTCTCCAGGTAGAGATACACTTTGATAGGTGAACGCTTTCAGACAGAGTTCCCTACTGTGCATTCTGGCATGGCAAGAGGCAAGGTTACACATCAGAACTATGCTATGGGAACATGTTCTCTTCTCAGTATTTGGCTTGAAAGTTAATCTCTTACTCCAATTAATGTGGAAAGCTTTTAGGAATCCTTTTTGCTGACAAAATGTTTTTATGCTTTAATTTGATTTAGCTGAGTCTTTTCTGTCTCTGCTTCTTCTCTGAAGAAACAGATTGCTTCAGGTATTGGTAGAAACATTTCTTGAGAATGATTTTAGGAGGATGTTTTCCTTCTGCTCTCCCAATTGATGACCTTTTTGCTTGAACCTTAGTATTTTAGGAAGCAAATATTTTTCTCTCTCTGTAAAGTTCAGTTGCCTGACAGTTCCAAACTTTATTCCGATCCTCAGAAGCAAAGTGCAAGAGAGAGTTTTTATATTTATCCAGTAATTTTGTCTTGTGGCAACATGATATGTATGTTGTAACTAATCGATTTTTAATGAGGTCTTGCTGCTGTTCCTTGTCAAAGTTAGACAACAAACTTGAGTCACTTAAATCCCTCATTCTAGGATACTTGTGTGGTTTGCTGCCTTGACAAGATTAACCTTCTCTTGTAGACTGTGGCCTGCTGTGGGTGATTAAGTGCTATTTTATAGAAAATGTTCTCTGTGTAATGCTGTCTTATAGTGCCTTTATTAGTGCATGACAGCATGTTGTGTTACAGTTTTAGAAGGGGGAATTCTGTACAAGAAGAAGCTATTCACATTTGCATCTTCAAAAACACGTACAAAGAACTGCGATTCAGGAGCACATTTTGTTAGCTTAAATAATAATATTTATGAATATTTTCAGAAATGTCAACCAATGATTAACACTTTTCAATGGATGAGATGTTAAATGAATTTAAATAAAATCATAGAATCATGAAATAAGTTGGAAGGGGCCTGTAAGGCCATCGAGTCTAACCCCCTGCTCGGATGTTAAATGAATTTAAATAAAATCATAGAATCATGAAATAAGTTGGAAGGGCCATCGAGTCTAACCCCCTGCTCATTGGAGAAATCCAAATCAAAGCAGACCTGACAGATAGGGCAAATGAGATAGATAAATCCACATTTCACCCATGACCACAGCATATTTGCTAACGGTTATTTTATCACAATATGTGGTTCCTCGCTTTAGTCTCCCCTCACCTGTCTACTGTCCCTCATGCTAGAAATAACAATAGAGATAGATTTTGTGGAGTTATGAGAAGCACACTTGAACAGTAGATGCTTCTGTGGTACTTTCTCCATCTTTTGTTCTTAGAAAAATATATTTTTTTAAAAAGAGTGCTACACCATTCGTTGACTACATAGGAGTTTGGCCAGATTGCAATTTACCTAGGGTAACTGCAGCATGTTCCTGATTAGCAGATTCAATAAAAGTCCTTGGCTTAATTTTAATTTCTGTTGTGTGGTAAACTGCTAGAATGGAATTACATGGAATAGGGTCCAGAATAACTGAGTCACACTAATGTCCCTTTAAAACCAACAGGACTTGTGTTATAATGTCCCTTTAAAACCAACAGGACTTGCGTTAGTAATACAGTAACTGACTTTTCACAATACTGTAGTTTCAATTGAACAGAAATGTAATTAACTTTGTATTATTGTTTTTATTCTGTTATAATGGCAATTCTTTATACAAACTGTATATAAATCAGTTCTGTTTTCGGTCTGTTTTCCCTTTCAGTATGTTAGACTAGATTGACAATAAATTAATCATGCCTTTAGTCAAGATGTGGGCCATCGTTTTGCTCAAGAGCTACTCACTGCTTGCACTTGTTAGTACTCACTCAATCACCCTTTTGTACATTCTTCGCCTCCAATCCCACACATTCACTTACCTTCCATTTATCTTTCCATGCATATTCAGCAGGGAAAGATTTTTCTTCCAGACTAACACTGAAGGAAAGTGAGCTGCCAGAGCAGGAATGGACAGATTTATTCTCCTTCGTAGTCTCTGTAGACCATATTTTATCTTCATGGATAGAATCACCTTGCTTCTTTGGGAATGTCAAGCCCCTACCCTGTCCATTGTTGTTTTGTGCATGTGAAAAGCCAAAGAGGATATTTCTGCTCTTACATGAGCAAGCACCTGTTGTCTCCACTGTATCTCTCCCTGCCCTGTACAATTCTAATAGCTACCCCCCGACCCCCCTCACAACTCTCCTTCTCATGAAAATACATCCCTTCTTAAGCAAAGACCCTAAATTAAAAATTCTTCCTCAAGTACATAGAAGAGTGCTCACTATAACTGGCAAGAAAATGAGAGTTAATATGCAGGCAGAGGGGACAATTAAGGGAAGGTAACAATGTACAGTGGTGCCTCGCTAGACGATTGCCCCACAAGACAATTAATCCGCAAGATGATTAGTTTTTGCGATCGTTTTTGTGCTTCGTAAGACAATGTTTTCTATGGACGATTTTTGCAAGATGGTGATTTTTCCCCATTGGAACGCATTAAATAGATTTCAATGCATTCCAAGAGGAACTACGTTCTGCAAGATGATGTTTTCTATGGACGATTTTTGCAAGACAACGATTTTCCCATTGGAACCCATTAAGTAGATTTCAATGCATTCCAATGCGGAACCGCATTTCGCAAGACGATGTTTTTGCAAGACATCGTCTTGTAAGGCACCACTGTACTAAGTGTAGGGGATGGGGAAATACAAAAAGTGAATTGTAGCAACAGTTCTCGTGGAAGTTCTGCTGAACCTGTTGACACACAACTCGTCCTGCAACAAGAAGTACTGCCTCTGGCAAGGTGCCTGGCTTCATATGCCTACAATGGGAGGAGCAACAAACACAGTCAGGGAACTCAAGTGTTCCAGCTCCCAGCGTTTCTTCTTGCCCAACAGCCTTTCCACTAAAATAAAATTTTCCAATAAACACATGCATACTCAGTAATACTCATTGCTTGCACTTGTTAGTACTCACTCAATCACCCTTTTGTGATTGATTTTATTTTCCAGTAAAATTTATTTATTTTATTTATTAATTACTTTTATATCCTGCCCACTTAGTCACAAGCTACTACCCTGGGCAACTAAAAAGAAATAAATACATAAACCACCCACATACCCACACACGAGCAAAACATACACCACCTCCTTCCCATAGCCTCTCACTTCTCAGTGTTCATGTCTGACCAAAGTTCCTCCTATCCTTAGGACTTAACAGTGATTTTCTTAAGGAAAAGTACCCCTACCTCATGAAAACTAAGCTATTTGTCAGTGTTGTTAAGAACATACACTCTTAATTGGGGGGGGGAGGGATAGTTATATTAATCTGTTGTAGCAAAAACAGCAAAGTCTAATGGCACTTTAAAGACTTCAAAGCAACGTTCTCTCTAATTTCCAGCCTCACCTGCCCCTTGCGAGCGCAATTTCACCTGCTCGTGTGCTTCCCTTCACAGGGTTCTGTCACAATTGGAACCAAAGGGGCTGAAAATGATAGTTGTTGGTGCTTGGAGGAGGAGGAGCTCTGCACAGAGGGGGCAGTCACATGCATGCAGGGATACACCTTAGAGCAGTGGAGGCAAACCTTTTTCGACTCAAGACGATGTTTTTGCAAGGTTGGGGAAGAAACTAGTGACTGCCATGCCACCCGGAAGACCAGAACTGGAACAGGAAGTGGCAGTTTCAGGGGAATCATGGGGACAGGCAGGAAGTTAAAGGGGGAATCATGGGGATGGACAGGAAGTTAAAGGACCCAGAACAGGAAGAGAAGGGGGGAATCCCAGCTGCAGTCATTTCAAAAGGTTTGTCACGTGCCAGAAGAAAGGGCTTCGCATGCCAACTGTGGCACGCATGCCATAGGTTCGCCATCACTGCCTTAGAGGGAACCTTGCTAGCAAGCTTTAATTGCTGTAATCTTTCATGTAATTTATCCTCCATGTCTAAATATGTTTCATTTGTTTTCCCTGCTAAGGATGAGTATAAATACCAACAGTTATGAGATAACAGCAGTTTTCCATGTTGAAAGAAATGGGCCAGACATTCGGAGGTTTCTGCGTATATATAAAGGTCTCCGTAATGTATGCTATGACTATAGTCATGTGTCTCTTTCCTTTGGTTTGCATTCTGCTCAGCTCAGACTTTAAAGTGACCCTTCTAGGAGTTCACCCTCAGGTGTAAGCAATGTGCCGGTCTACAGCAGGATGTCAGAACAAGACCAAACAGTGTGGATACTGTCTTTAGGATGTAATCTCAAGGACAGTGGTAGATGAAAACCCCTCTGCAGATGGTCAAAGTGTTCATGTTGCAAGTTTGACTTAATTACATCTAGTTTTAATTAGAAAGAAATATAAAAGTACCAGGTGCTGAAACTGTGACCCTAGAGCTAAAACCTACATAGTGGAAAAAAATCAGACTGATGAGTTTTAGTAGAAAAACTGATTTCAATTTAAGTAATGGCAGTAATGTAAATTAGAAGAAAACAGCAGCAGTTGGTACATACATGTACTGCAAAGAAAATGTAGCGATGCTTAACAAATGTTCGCTATACACAAGTATACAGAAAGTGTACTTGGGGGTTCTTTATGTTCTTTCTGGTTGATGGCCCTGTTGA